AGTCTAGGTATACCACATCCACCGCTTCTCCCTTATCCACAAGACTCATTATCCTAGCAAAGAAAGCTATCAGATTGGTTTGACATGATTTGTTCTTTACAAATCCATGCTGGCTATTCCCTATCATCTTACCACCTTCCAAGTGTTTGCAGATGATTTCCTTAATTACTTGCTCCATTATCTTCCCTGGCACAGAAGTTAAACTAACTGGTCTGTAGTTTCCTGGGTTGTTTTTTATTTCCCTTTTTGTAGATGGGCACTATATTTGTCCTTTTCCAGTCTTCTGGAATCTCTCCCGTCTCCTATGATTTTCCAAAGATAATAGCTAGAGGCTCAGATACCTCCTCTATTAGCTCCTTGAGTATTCTAGGATGCATTTCATCAGGGCCTGGTGACTAGCAGGCAGCTAACTTTTCTAAGTGATTTTTAACTTGTTCTTTTTTCATTTTATCTGCTAAACCTACCCCCTTCCCATTAGCATTCACTAGGTTAGGCATTCCTTCAGACTTCTCGGTGAAGACCGAAACAAAGAAGTCATTAAGCATCTCTGCCATTTCCAAGTTTCCTGTTACTGTTTCTCCCTCTTCACTGAGCAATGGGCCTACCCTGTCTTTGGTCTTCCTCTTGCTTTGAGAGCATCCGGAAGAGAACTGTGAGTTCCCACAACTTAGTGGGAAATTAAGAGAAATTTTTGACTGCAAAGTAGCAAGCAAAAGAGACGGGAGCTGTTTCTCTGGCTCTGTTTAAGTTTATTTTCTCTCTTGTTGTCTATTTTACAGGAAAGAAAACTAACCAAAACGGACAGTATCAGTATGGCCGGATACAACACATTCTCTAGGAGTGCTGCATTTAGTGTAAACTGCCACAAGGTGACAGTGTTTCAGAGCATTACAGGTTTTACAGTACCTAACTTGTGTTCTTAGGATGCTGTACTGTGAAGACAGACTGCAGATGCAAAGACTGCAAGCCAACACTTGAAAGGTAAGAGTCAGCCTCTGCAGCAGTGGAGGCAAGCCAACTGAACTGGAGAGCTCCAATTGTAGCATTCACCGGGAACCCAAAGAACGGGTCTTTTCTAGATAGTTCCTACATTACTGTTTTCTCCAGCCACTAACTTTAAAAATGCTCTTCTCTACCAGCCTACGAGGCCTTGCCCACAGCAACTGTCAAGACAAACAACTACTCTGGCTCCAGTAGGTAAGTCACATTTTAAATATTTATGTCTAATTGGAGAAGCTGGACTTCAGAGACTGGGGATACAAGAGAACTGTGATACCTTCCAGTATTGTCATAATCACAAGCAAAAATCTTTGCTGGAATCCACTGAAACAGTTTCAAACAGAACTCTTTTCTGGCAAACACCTTCTAAAAATAAGCACTTTTTAAAGTAGGCAGATGTCATAATACCTAAAAACAAACACTGGCAGATTTAAATAAATAAATAATTTGTAAAGTGCTTCTTTGGGAAGAAAGTTATTGTCGATATGAAAGTTGCCTGTTGTACGTCAGTGGGGTTTGCTCACATAAGCAAAATGCATTAGAGATTCTTACAGAAGTAACGGCTGTGATCAATTCGCAGCACCCGGTGCCGATAATGACATATTGGATTTTCTCATATGGAATTCCAGCCTCTTGGAACACATAGGAAGCATAAAAATACATCTAGGAAGAAAAGAAAGGGAAAGTGAACTGTAAGAGAAGTTGCCCTGGAATTGCACACCACTGCCAGTCCCACCCTCTCAGACGCCATGTTACTCCTCCCGATCTGGAGATTAACACTGTCACCCAGAGAACTGGCTACATGGGCTGCCATTCAAACTGCTTCTCCACAGTGTCCATATGCAATCCATTCAGTAATGTGCATTCAGCAGCCAAACACCTGATATTTGCATCTAGATGGTAGCAATGAAATGCTCTCTGCAAACAATTGCAAAACAGATCCGTAAAGTAACTGAAATGTTATTTCAATAGTGCAGGCAAAGAGAACTCCATCAACTACAGAGCTCTCTCCAGAATAAAAATGACCCTTTTCATTATGCCCAATGTACCAGGTATGACATGGGCCACTCATAAGCAACGCCAAGCATTCCCTGCCACTCCATGTTTCCCGATATCTCAGAAGACCAGTATGCAAATATTTCTCTTAATGCATTTACGTTCCCGTTTTCTTGTTTTCTAGTTTCTTGGGCATCTCAGTCTGATCTCTCCTCATCCACCCTTTCCTGCCCATGAGTGGATGGCAAAAGGTTTTTGCCCCATCCACTTAGGGGGACATCTGATCAAGGACATAGCCTTTGTACCCACCTCTCTTTTTAGGCCACCATTTTACCTGATCTTATTTCAATTCTCTTCATCCATTCCTCCTGCTCTGGTAGATTCACATTGCTCTCTGGAGATCACCCAGAGGAACTCTGCAAGGGAAGCAGGCTAACTTGCCCTCCCCTACAGAACGGGGGGAGATTCTCAGCCTCTGTTTGCCCAAAAAGTGACAGTCTTGCTTGCATTGTTGTCTCACATCTGATACCTGCTGATGAAATGGTGGCTATCATGCTTACCGAGTCATTTCCACAGAGCTGCATGGCACTGCTCAGCACACTGATACTTATTAGCTGCCATCTTACAGCTGGATTCTGGAACAGCTCCCACGGACTCTTTGCCCTCTGACCTTTGATGGCAGCCTGTTCTGCTAGCATTTCCTCCAGCTCACTGCTCAGGTCACCATTACCTCTCAGCTTCTGCAATGCTGTAAGGGAAAAGGTGCAGTTTATCTACTATATGGAAGCACTTTAACTTCATCAATTCATCTCCCTGTGGGAGTGAGGGACTGGGTGGCAAGTGACAGTCACAGAAAGCAGGGTAGTGGTAGGACTTTGTGATCCAAGAAACCACCTTTGATAAGCAGAGAAGGCAAGATGTGCTATGCTTGATGAAGCTATTAGAAGGTCTGTGAGACTTTGGGGAGAAGGGGTGACAAAATCCATGCAATTTTCTTACCAGGGAATATGTCCAACCAGTGCAATTTCAGCTACCATGTTTCTGACCCTTATAGACAGAATATTAATCTATGGTAGCTCTCCAATGAATCTAAGGGAGTTAAGATTTTTTGGTGCACAGCACATGTGTAATGGAAACTAATTCCAACCTGGTCCACATCTGGAGATCTGTATGTTACAAATGTCAATAAATTTCCTTATATGAAGTGGATTCAGATTTGGTCACTGAAATCTTCATCTAGCCTTCATTTTACATCCTAGTTACAGACTACATCCAAAGTTATCTAGGTCTCCTTAAACAGAGAGCAGGTTACATGCTAATTGCCTTTGGACTCACTATATGTAGTGAAAAAGTCATTTGCAGCAACAAATAAGTACCTTAACAGGTCAAAAAACAGTCATCATGTAAACTGCACTCTGGTTTGGAAGAAAGAAATAATGACATATTTACCCTGCCTGCCCTTTGTGTGACACTTACGGTAACTTACTATATAACATAACTGAGGGCAACATTCTCAAAAGGTGGAGGCCCCGGTCTGTGCCCAGGTACAAGTGCACTCTTGTTTGCACCTACAATTACTGCAATTGTCCACACAAATGGTGAGATGGCTGCCAACCTCGCAGGATCCAAGTGCACGTGCAGCTGAGGCTGCACTTTTGTGTACGCATTTTATGCACAAAGAACATGGGCCTCTATTTTTGAAAAATGTCACCCTAAATGTTCAGCAGAAAGTGGCATAGACATTGACTGGGCTAAACCATTTGGTACTCATTAAAGGAGGACAGCAGCACTACAGGACAGAATATTGACTGTGGAAAAAACATACATTTCAAGCTGCTTGCTCCAGGCCAAACATGCTGGACTAAGCTATGTAACATATTAAGAATGTACAACAAAACTAACATCAGTTTCTTTGCACTGTCCGTAAATCTTGCCCCCTGAACCGGACATTGACACGATCACTTTACACTCACCACAGATGCAGGATTCCTTGTCACCTCGGTCAATCAAGAGGTACCTAGGGCTTTCTGGTAACCAAGGCAGAGTAATCAGCTGGATTAGACCAGGCACCACATTGCTAGCTAAAAGAAGAGGCCAGCTCTCCTCTCCCCCTAATAGTTCTCTGAAGAAAAATAAAACATAATTAACATGAATCAATCAAATGTTTCATAAGACAAAATACAGTGTTCTGAGGTGGCTGGGTGAACTGGTGGCGGCACAACGCGCTGTAGGTGGGCTGGGTTTGACTCACTCTCGGGGCTAGTAGAGCATTTGTGCATCACGCAGCTGAGTTTGAAAGTGATGGTGATATGGCCTCCTGCTCACAAGTGACTCCTTGATAGGAGATATATGAAACAACAATGCCATTTGCCTTCACCTCAGAGGGAATGGCACCTGCCTGGAGGTTAGTTTGGTGCTGAGATGTGACAAGAGAGCAGGAGGTCAGAGGCATAATGAAGGGTTAGAGAACTCCATCTGAACAGGCTTTTGGGCCCCAACCAGGGACACCAAAAGCTCACACTGTGGTGCTGGGGGGCAGTGGGTCACACCACAACTTCCCACCAACCCATGCACCAAAACTATAGCCCATCTTGCTGTTTTTATATGTTGGACAGCTGCTTTTAAGGGACAAGGCAATCCTGCCAACCTGGAGAGATGGGACATGATTAAAAAATCTCCTCACTGGGAGAAGGAATTCATCCACAGGTCTAGATGGGGAAATAAGATATCCAAGGACAGAGGAGTTTGGGGGGATTCCAGAACAATGAGCCCTCCCTGGAACATTTTAAGCACAAGGGAAGGAAGAGTGCACTTTTAGAACGTGTCTGGCTCAAAGAGGGTGGTGGTGAAGACTGCTATAGAGCAGAAGAGGTCTCTCTTTCTGGGCTGAAGATCCAATGCTGTAACCATTCTGGTACTGATGGTTTTTCATTCCACTCTTGAGGTTTCACCCATATACATTTTCCTTTGTTCACATTTCACACTTGGCTGCCTGTTCTGCATCTCCTGGGATGGTTGGATCAACCCCAATGATTGTCACACACAACAGGGAAATTCTACTGCTACTTCAGGATAGCCAGATCAAAGTAAGCAGTGTACAGTTTAATGTACAGGATTGATCCAGGAACACTGGGGCAATGCATATATTTTGGGACTGACAGAGCAGCAGATTTACAAGTTGACTATATTCAGGAGGCCCTTTCTGAAACATGTGGAGCCTCTTCAGACACAAGGCAAAATGCAAGTTGGAATAAAAAAGTGCAACTCCCATTGATGTTTCTGGGCCAAAATCAGAGGTGGCATAAATGGTGGTGCAAGTTACACACTGGGTGTAAGGGGCAAAGGAGTGTAACTTGAAGGCGGCAGCGTGGCTTAATTGATGGAGCATAGGCCTGGGACACAGGAGACTGAGGTTCTATTCCTGGCTGTGATCGTGGGCAAGTCATTTCACTGATATGTGCCTCAGTTTCCTCATCTGTAAAATGGAGATAATGACACTGACCTAATTTATAAAGTGCTTTCAGCTCCACTGGTGAAGAGCTAGATATAGTTATTGCACCACTTTGATATTCGATGGGTATGAAAAAAAGCAGCTTTTGCACCAAGGGTGGCAGTGGTGGGGTTGTAGCAGGAAAAGCAATTAACACAAAAGTCTTGCCCCACATACTCACTTACATCTTCTCCCCTAAGAGGCAAAGCCAAATTCAGCCCTGGGATACACAGGCACATTTCCTACTGAAGTCAATGTCACAGCAGAATTTGGTCCACAGAGTCCCAAATTCATGCAAGTTACGCTCATTTTGTACATCCATTGAATGCCAGTGAGTGAAAACAGGGCTCTCACTTCCACCCAGAGAATTTACACAGGGCTATCCATAAATTAGGTGACACATTCGAGGGTGGGTGGGTCCTTAATTTTGCATGTTTATTTCAGTGTCACAAAGTGTTACAAGCAGTGGGTGGGTCCTGAAAAATCACCAAAAAATCTGTTATATGATTTATGGACAGTCCTCATCATCACTTATGCCACTGTCGAATTTGGTCCCTAGGCTCAAAACCATCATGCTGTCCCGGGTATACATAGGCATTTGAGCAGGAGAAGACGGGAGAGGAAAGAAAGAAGAGAGTTAGTGAATCAGAAACACAGTGGAGTCTATACATTACCTAATTCCAACAACTTGTCCCAGCACCAACCCCAGGGCAGTAAATGATGCAGAAGTCAAGGTCACTGCTCCTCTGACCTTCTTGGGAGCACTTTCCCCCAGGTACATGGGCTGAATGTTCATGCTCACACCTGGACAAGACAAACACTGACCTCAGCTTATACTCTCAAGATGTAAAAGAGAAAAAAAAATTAAAATAGCCCCTCGATGAGGTAGTTAGCTGTATTCTCTCTGCTTGTTACAGAGTATGCTGCTTACACGGAGCTCTCAATGCCTATTATTTACACCAATATATTTCCATTCCCTCTAATTCACTGTGTCAGTTTTGGTAAATACTGTATATATTTATGTGTTTGAAAGTACTGTGGGCTAATGAAAAGCAACTTCACATTTTTAAAGTAAGCGACCTAGATTATCATTACTGTACATTATTAAAGTTGCAGCTATATTGGTAATTTTTGGTGCCCTCAAAGTGAGTGACTGACAGTGCTGGCTAGAGGCAGATAAGGGGTAAATTTTCTGCCACACCTCTAAATGGCTTCCATTTGTGTCATGCAAAACAGTGCATGCACATATCTGTGTGTTATGCAGAAGCAAACAGCTGTATGCTCTTTAAAAAGTCTAACCCTTGCATACAAGCCAGTGTTGGAATTTGTAAACACAAAAGCTTTTCAAACAGGTTTGCAGGAGGGGAAGCACATTTTTTCATTAGTGTTCACATAGATGCTAAAATTGTTCAAGTGCTGAGGGGGTGTTTGCACCAGCAAAGTGCAGGTATGTGTGTGTGGAACTGAATGTGCATAAGTGGAGACCAGGGTCTACGATCAGGCCTACATGTGGGTAAGCTCTGTGAAAGATTTCCAGCATAGTTTGGCCTATACACTAGAATATAACCTGCAGCACTCCCTGCTGTTCCATTCTTGGCACTATCTTGGTCTTATTATTTTGTATTATAGTAGAGCCTAGAGGCTCCAGGGAAGATCGAGGCCCCATTGTGCTAGGTGTAGTAAGAGACAGTCTCTGCCCTAAAGAGCTACAGTCTAAATAGACAAGACAGACAAAAGGTGGGAGAAAGAAAGTACTGTTATTCCCACTTTACAGATGGGGAACTGAGGCAAAGGAATTAAATAGCTTACCCTAGATCTCACATTAAGGCAGAGCTGGGAATTGAATCCAGGTCTCCTGAATCCCAGTCCAGTGCCTTAACCACAAAACCATCCTTTTTATTAGGGGCTAGTATGAGATCAAACATATTTAATTTGTGACAATATTGGATGTGGGGACCCACATCTTCAAGTGAGCTGCTAGTGCACAAACTCTTCTGTGCGCATGAAGCAACTGTCATTAACCAAGTCAACCTGGGAGTATGTAAAACAGTCTCAGGTGGTAAGCTGAATGATACAGAAATTCCATATGTGCAAGTAATTCTTGTCACTACAAATAGCCTTTAGGAAAATTATCTTGCGTGTGTGCATGCGCGTGTGTGTATGTTTCTGGATATTAAGCACAGACTTTGATAAAGGCTTCTGCATAATATGTTTCAGAAGCATATTGTGAAATGTTACATGGAAGAAGCCGTATACTGGTTGACAATCCAGGTTTATGTCACCTCTTAATGGCAGGGAAAGGAGACTGGCATGTTCTTTGGTGCCAGGGGTCATGAGTTAAATGCCAACTGCAGCACCAGGGACTGCAGAGCACGTCAGAAACCATTTTAATGCCACAGACATTTATATTTGTACTGGTGTTTCTATAGTCCTCATTACCACAGTATCACTGTTCCTTACCAGCATTGATTCCAGTGAAAAATCTGCCGAGCATGATCATTTCGAAGGATTTGGCCATCCGGCTGAATCCTGACAAGACTGCAGCTATGATCACAAACGCGTTATTCAGCAGCAAGGACGTCTTCCTTCAGAGAGAATAAAAACAGAACTGAAGACTCAGCTTTCACCAGGTCTGGTTATCAGAGCCAATGGTGGGTTACAGCAGTCCAATTTTCCAAATTTGAAAGTTTAAGTCAGGGTGCCCGTTTCTATAGCAGGACATTCAGATGGGCACTTAGGGCCCAAATACCCCTTCTGGCAAGTATCCAGTTAGGAAAACTGGGTTTGACATTGGCAAATAAACTGTCATCTGCATTGCCCAGTGCATGGCAGAGTTAGGGATTGTTCACCTGGAGGGGAATCCCATCCATTATGAACTAAGATAACTGATGATTGCAGGACCAGATTCAGGGAACCAGGAGGGCATCATCACATTGATAATCCTGATTCGTTGCTCCTGTTCTCACACTTAACAAAATCCCTTTTTAATGAAACAGAAAAATCATAAAATCATTATGAACATCCCCAAGAAACAGGGTGAGTTCTGGACGACAGCACCGCTACTTAGCCCATGATTACTTCCTGAAATGGTAAAACTGGTTCCTTCATTACGTAAGGGGGAGCTGCAATTTTTACCAAAAGCACAGCATGGGAACACCATACTAGAACTGGACAGAGAGGCAAGTACAGTGTAACTTTCTGTGGTTTCACGATAAAAACATTGATTGTTCTTTCAGAGAGAAGGGGAGCTTATACCACGTGTGAAATCTGAGGATACGGAAATACAGATTTTTTTTTAATAAGCTCCCAAGCACAGGGAAGAAAAGGAACTTGGAAGACTCAATGGATACCCCTTCTTGTAAGCACCTTATGCTCCTCAAGCTCCGGATTCCGTGCAGCATTCCTACCCTTTCCCACTCTCCATTTTGGAAAAAAGCTCTCCATTAATTCTGTGCTTGTTTCCTGCTTAAATTGTGACAACAACATAGGTGAAGAGAAGCTGGTGTCTGCACACTTGCCTGCTGTATCTTATGTTATGCTGGCTGAGCAGAAAGCCATACCTAGATATTTTTCCAGTGGTGCAAAGTACTGTGCTATGTTGGATGATGAGAAGTGAAATGCTACCATTCAAGGTAGCTTCCTTCAAGGGCTAATCCCAGATTGTATGGGCTTGTTTTCTTAGGTTAAGAATGAACTTCATGATTTTCAGTTGAGTTGGATAATTTGGAATTGGGCTCTTATCAGTGTAACATCTAAATGTGGTCGGCATTTTTAGATTAACGAAAAACAATCTACAAAGTTCAAGATGCAAATCCAAAGGCCTCTTACCTTCCCAGCTTGATAGCCATGGGTCCTGCAATGAGAGCTCCAGTGAGTCCCCCCAGAGAATAGACAGAAACAACGAAAGACCACACCAGCAATATCACACTGCTCTCTAGAGATGCACCTGTGCGTTCTAGCCATGTTTCATTTATAAACGTCTGAATGTACTGTAAGTGAAGGACAAGAGTCACTTTACTGTAGGATTAAAAATAAAGATCACTGAGAAATAGAAAAGGTTTTCTTTGTATTAGGTATGATTTACGTGATGATCATGACTCCAAAGTTCAGCTTGAAGAAAGCATTCAATTCCAAGGTGTATTTTTGACATCCCCCTATAAAATTTTAGTTGTTAAGAAGCCATACTAGACAGATTGCCTTTACAAAGTGAAATTATCTTGCATATTTAAAAAAATTATCTACATATATTTCATGGGCTCAATCCTGAATTCAGCAGGAAAGCTTGATTTCGAAGGGTGCAGGATTAACCCCTATACACTGAATGCTCCCAATAGCAAAATTATAAGGGGTGCTCAGTACATAACTCATTTTAAACTAACCTTTCTCTCCCAATCATTTCATGTCCCCAGAGTCACACCAGCAAGTTCCAGATCCATTAGAACATCTAGCGTGTAATATGCGGTACATTTCAGTTACCACAGAGCCCCAAGAGAGCTAGCCAGCAGGGAATCAGATAAGTGGCTGTCATGTATTATGTAGCCTGGTTTTGCAAATGTTTTAAAAATTATTATTTTATAAAGTAAGACAAATTTATCTAACTTGTAAAAAATGTTCTTCTAAGACTGGAAAGTTTCAGAATTATATTTGCTAAAGTTATGCCTGATTCAAAAAGGTTCGGACTGGCAATCCTGTGGTCATAATCCCTTCTGGGTCTCAGCTGTAGCACCGCTAGCAGGATGCAACCGTTAAATCAGGGGTAGGCAACCTATGGCACGTGTGCCAAAGGCTGCACGCGAGCTGATTTTCATTGGCACTCACACTGCCCGGGTCCTGGCCACCGGTCCGGGGGGCTCTACATTTTAATTTAATTTTAAATGAAGCTTCTTAAACATTTTAAAAACCTTGTTTACTTTATATACAACAATAGTTTAGTTATATATTATGAACTTATAGAAAGAGACCTTCTAAAAACGTTAAAATGTATTACTGGCACGCGAAACCTTAAATCAGAGTGAATAAATGAAGACTCGGCACACCACTTCTGAAAGGTTGCCGACCCCTGAGTTAAATTATTAATTATGTAAAGGACACAAATCCTTCCTTTACTTTCCACCTTCAGTAGTAGCTGACTGAAGGGTTTTGGCAAGATATGCCTGTTTTTTCCCAGACAGGTGGACCCTGAGGATCCCTGTAAGGACTACAGAGTTTAGACCTCACAAGATTCACTGTCTCAGGAGATGGCTGCAAAGGCCAGTAGAGCACTTACTGTAGTTGGAGCATTGATGATGGAGATGTTGTAGCCATACTGGAAAGTCCCTCCAATCCCAGCAGCACATATTGTAAGAAATAGGACCTTGCCTTGAAGCTGAGGTAAACAAAATATAAATATATTAAAAGGACAGAAAATGTTGATAGTTTTCCACTGCTGAACTGTAAAATGGTTCAACAGGACCTTGGCCCAATCATTTGTCTGGGATGGTTTGAATGATAATAGGTGAAGACAGGAGACATCATGCTGGCTCTAAAAAGGAAAGGTTCCAAAAGACAAACTAATCACACAAAGAGATTTTAAATTTTAAGGTGCCTAAAAAATTATTTTAAGAAGT